CGTGACATTAGATTAGACATTAATAATAAAGATATCATTCAGATCCATTTTAAATATTGATGCATACTTACCTATTGAAAAAAAATAATAATATCAATAACATATTACATATTACGTTATAAATGGAAAATATTTTAAATCAAACCTCGCAAGATCACTGACAACAATTTTGAGAGATCGTGCTCCATCTAATTTCACTTAGTTTCAATTCGAACAATTTCAACTAAATAATTCTGATCGAATTTCCCCTGTTCCTCCACGATGGGAATCACGTATAATGGTATCTTCTGTATCCTCGTTAATTTCAGATTCTCGAAACAGTCAGGTGAACGGTTACACGCCTAGACTCGGCCGGGGGAACGATGCTGATCGAATTCTCTGCAAATGATCATCACCGAGGATCTTCAGGTTTCGCTTCAATGGAAATTCATGCGACTTGGCCTAATCTATCTCTTTATCCGATAACCAATTATTCACTACTACAATGGAGGAGGAAACTTTGTTTAAACGAGTGTATAATAAAAGGATGGATCGATTTTTTTTCGTGAAATTCAGCAAGCATCGTTTGTAGAAAATTTATCGAAGTTTCCACAGTGTACACGGTCCGTAGAATTTTCACTGACATGAGTAATAAAGCTGGTGAAATGGCTATGTTTCTTTTCGAACACGAACTTTTTCCCCTTTGGATAAAATCCATCCTGTTCCTGCGAATTTTTCTTTTCCTTCTTCTCCCCGCGTTGATTTCGACTTTTCTTTTCTCTTTCTCTTCGTATTTCCTTTGAAATAAAAAATATATTGTTATTGATGACATTAGTGGTTGTAAGAGATTGTGATAAATTGTAAAGTTTCCTTTTCTTGTTAAGCTTATTTAATTTTTTCTTGAATTTTATTGAAGCTGATTTCCTTTGTTGGAAAAGTAAAAAAATTGGTTGATAATTTGAAGTTGCTATGATATTTATATATCGTTTTATTTATTTTCTGAATATCGATTATGATAGAATTCTTTTGATTAAGAAATATTATATTAAAAGAAAAAAAATAACCAACAACAAGTGTTTCTCAATGAAATAAATTTAAAGTTAACACGAAATAAGTCATATAAAATATTTGTTCTATAAGAATAAATTATTTTCATTATATCGTTACTTGATCTAATATTTTTTCAAAAATTTTGAAATTAAGATCCTTTGACTGTTCCTTAATTTGTGTGAATTAAAATCTTAGAAATCTTTTTCTTTCGAAAGATTTAAAATTAAAATCATTCCCTTTATATATATAAAGAAAAATTTAAGTATTATAAAATATTTTTGAAACACAATTTTTCCCAGAAATGATTATAATAAATGCAAGTTAGAGGAATTCATTCTTCTACTGATGGTCAAGATTCACGTTCCAAGATTAATCGTAAAATACGAGAATTTCCCTTCTCTTCTTCCCTTTCTTTTTACAACAGAAGAATTTTTCTCCTCAAAAGAAGAAATTTTTCTCTTTCTTCAAACAGTCACAAACTCATATCCTCCCTTTCGTAGTTTATTGAATTATTCGTTTGAAAATGGAATACACGAACATTCCTCTTTTGATCATCGCAATAAACGAATCGTGTATTCCGTATTATCAAATAAAATTAAGGAAAAAGAGGATATTTCGTATCGGCGTTAATCGACCGATTAAATTATAGAAAGATAGCCAAGTTGGCCAAGTTTCAAGCTTCTCCCCTCTGATTGTAATGAAGTTCGTTTAATTCTTGTGATCAACTTGCGAATACTACCTTATGAAATCAAATCAGTGTACTTTTATTCTTTTTCTTTGTCCTTTTCTTTTTTTTTTAACGCTGTTTAAATACAATCGATGCATATAACAGAAATATTAAAAAATTTGAACAGTACGAGATGTGTGTTCAACGAGTGACTTTTGTCACAAATTATTTATTTTCAAGATAAGAATTCATATAATACAACGAAATTCATGAAAATTCCTTTAACTTTTTATGTATTCATAATGGTTCCAAAATTGTCCAATATTTTAAAAAAAATTTTATATATAATCATAAAATTGTGTTTCATAAAATTTACGTCCATTGACGAGTCATAGTCAACAGTTAAGGTGTTAAAACAAATTTTTCGTGTTTTTTTCAATTTACAAAGATAATTTTTATAAATTTATTTAAAAATTGCCTTCAGCACAATCGTATGGTTGTTAATTCAAATTCAAAAATCCACTATCTATAATATCGTTTCTATTCGTTTGATCGATCATTGACTTCTTTCACTTCTCACGTGAAATATATAAACGTTTCGAGATACAAAAGAAAGTAATTGCGAAATTTTTCGAAATTGACAAAAGTCTCTGAATTTTTGGAATACATCCTTTGTATATTCAAGATTGCCTTCAGCACAATCATGCGATTGTTAATTCAAATTCAAAAATTCACTGTCTATAATATCTTTCTATTCGTCTGATTGATCATTGACTTCTTTCACTTCTCACGTGAAACATATAAACGTTTCGAGATACAAAAGAAAAT